CATTGGCTTTATCTATAGACGTAAAATTGTCAATGAAAAATAGTTTCCATTTGAAGTCGATCTAAAATGGGAAATATGCAATACAATAATAGAATAAATTGGGTCGTGGTGTCTCTTGTATTTATAATAATCTTTTATTTATTCAACAATGTGTTTAGCTATGCGCTTGCATGGACTGATATACATATAAAAAAATTATTTAGTATCTTATTACCACAATCTCATATGACACGTGATTCACTGCACACTTTTCTCTTTTTGCACCGACATGGAAATAAGCCTTAAGCTATATGCAAGTAAGCTGGTAATAGATAATAAGTATATATGGTTTTTTTTAAAATGTAAAAATCTGAATTTGTTCCCTTTTGGCTAATTAAGAATAGGGTGCAAACAGGACAATCTGATACAGATTATGCACTGATACACACTAAGAAGTAATCAAAGACAATGTGAAATATTATACCTTAATAATAATATAGTGCAAATATACAAAGCTTGTGTCCAGACACAAATGGACATTGGACAATAGACTCTTTCGCTGTTCAGTTGAAGTTTCTGGCACTAGTGTATGCTATGATGTATCTCATATTTAGATTTCCTTCACCCTCATCGACCAACAGACTTTCACTTTAAAGATCGGACAATCACCCTTATCTCTGCAATTGCCAGGTTTTTATGTGTTTATCTGCAACACATGTAGGTTGGTTTCTGGTCGAAGAACTTGCAAATCTAGGTTATTATCTTCGTTCAAAGTTAAGTGGCTACATATCCATTTCTGGGTAACTGGCTAAACTTGTTTTTTTTTCCATGGAAAACAGAAAGATAATACATATGTACTACTTATAAAAAACAGACGCACGTACTGTTCTTTACTCGGGGCGCAAGCAATTCTTATTCACTCCACATCATTTATATATAAATAGTTTTGGGAAGGAATGGAAGTATTTCTGTCCATCTAATTCCTTACTAGTTTAATTCATGTGTCAATCAGAATTCCTACTTGCATTTTATCACATAAATCTAAGGAACAAAACTATATATGCTGCAGCAGAACGGCATGATCAGCCACTCAACAGCTCGGCTCACTTTCTAATGTAAGATTTTGTATTATTCTTTGGAAATTGAAGTCTGATAAACTAGATGTGTGAGAGCTGACGAATTATAAAAACATCCATCTTTGAATACCTGACGATATAAGGGTCACTGTGTCACTGTTGCAACATTATGTCTACAACAAACAGCAGAACGCGAAAACATCCCATTTCGGACGATAATATTCAATACCCCGAGCAATCATTTGTCATCTTTATTCTTCTTTAAAGTAACCCTATTTAGTTCAGCATTTAATACTCGCCCGTGTTTTAAATAACCTTGGATATGTAGATGGCAATAAAATAAAGTGTGCAGTCATGATTAAAAACTTTAAAAAATAATGGTGCATTATATAAACCATATGGTCTCATTGTTATCTTATCTCTAATTGCATAAACATCAAAGATTTTACATTAACATGCCAGTTTTCATTTTATACCCACTGTACCCAATTTCCGTATTTGTAAAAATAATATTTTGATTTTACAAAAGCCGTTTTAGCGTTCAAACACTAATGAATTTCATAAACACAAAATATTATTGATATAGTAAACATATTCGTTGCGTTTATTTATTTTTATTTTAAGTTTCACGCCAACAATATACAATGATATATCTTTAAGGTGGATGTTCGTTAATTTGTTATATCATGGACCTTATTATAAGGTCCATGGTTATATATGTCTTTAATCCCTGTTTTTACGCGCTCTCCTCGACTTATTTGTATCAGATAAATACATTGGTTTCTGAACGTTAATTGCAACTTAAAGAGAACATAAAAACCTCGTACATCATTATTCTGCAGTTTTCACGCGCTCACCTCGTGTTGTACTAAATGGTATTGTCTATGGAGTGCAGACAGACCAGCTTATCATTAATATAAAGACTGCTGATTCTTGTCATTTTCACTGAGATTATCCGATAGAACTAGAATCGGGTTTTTAAACACAAACCATTAACTCTAAATGTCAACGAATCGGATTAAGTCCTTCGCAACCGGTCTCGAAAGTCGATAATAAAGAAATTTAAACCATAAATAAACATTTCAAAAATCACAAAAATTAACAGCTTACATGATGGCAATATAACAGAAATAATGGCTTGAACATACTTAAAAAAACAGTCCTTAGAAATGTAAGAAAACGCCAAACTTTACATATTCGTGGCATCATGTGTTATATTTATAGAACTCAATATTTATAGAAACAACATTTTTGAGACTTCTGGACCAGGGTCCAATACCGTAGTTGACCGAGAAAGTACCTCAGAATTTTCCAATCTGGTTACCCCCTTGTGAGTTGTGCTGAACGCGGGGGTGGGGGGGGGGGGGTGAGTTCGAAATAACAAGGAAAGGCGTCTAGTAGGATGGATCCAGAAACCAAAATGTATACCATTGACAGTATGTTAAAGATCCTCTGATAATTGAACATCAAAATAAGAGGAGGTAGTAGCGCTGCGGTCAGGGCAAAAAATGTTCCACATTAACACACTGTAGTGCGTTTTATCCTTTTTCATTAGTCAGGGCCGGTTTTTGGCAGATTTTACCAATTTCCCCAAATTGGGCCCCGCACTAGAAAGGGGCCCCGCAGCAGGGCTACCAGGCGTGTCTATTTTCAGGTATTAATCAATTACTAACTGTGAAGTAAAGCATAGTTGGCTTTACATATGAATGAATATAGGCCTAGTTAAATTTATCCATATCCTGCAATGTATTTATATATCCTGTAACTTCGGGCCATCCAAATTTTCTACAACCGGCTCTGCCTGTTGATGCAGACAACTAAGATTTTAAACCCACTTCTAAATTCAAATTATCCAAATTTAATATATATATATAATTAGTTTCGATGTGACCTAGTTTGTGTCAAGCAAACCTTGGCTACTAGTAACTGCTCTCTTTCTCTGTTTGACTACGATTTTCATATTTACCATTATTTTTTGGTCATGTCCACGACATACTTTAACACAATATTTTCTGACCTTATACTTGACATATGACGACAACAACAACCCACCAATGACACGGCCTTTGTTCTGTACAAACATGGAGACGATGTCAGGGGTTACGACCGATCGGTCATTAATTGAATCACTGGTTTAATACCACTGTGAATCCTAACCGGGAGAAAGGGCACGACCGATCATGAACCCTGGGTTACCTCACCAGTAAAACGGTCAGTCTAGACTGGTAACAGAGGTCACATTGGGGGCACCTGGCTCGGACGACGTCCTACAATAATATTACGAAGTATGTATTACGTTAACTCCATAAGGCAATAAAAATACATAGGTCCGAATGAAATGGGGTTGATCTTGTCAACACGGGACTCAGTTACCCATTCTATTAAACAGAGCTGCCGACAATCAGTATCGCAGCGCAATTTGCGATACACATTATGATTTTGTCCGCTGCTAATCAAAAATTTAAATCTAACGTTTTTGATTCGCATTATTCATTAATATGCCTGTCATTTTGGATATTGGCACAAGGGTAATCCACATTTTGAAGACTAGAAGGCTTTCTCAACACTTTCAACGTGTATAAAATGTCAAATAAAATTTTTATAATCAAAACTGAATTCTCCGTGTGACATTTTCTTCTCGAACTACCCAGACATAATTCATTTTTCTATAGGGACATAACTCTATGAATAGGGACTATTAAACCGAAAATAGGGAACCAAGTAGTGCCACTCATGTTGCGAGACATGTCAATTTCAAGAAATTATATCAGTATTCATTTTGAAAGAAATAAATTCACTGTATCCCCCACGTATTGTAAATAAAATATAAAAAAATAAATACATGTTAAGTGTTACCGTATTGTAAAATGATAAATCGAAGTAAAAATTCCCGTAAAATATTATTGTTTATATCGCGTGTCTAGTTAATTGAGGTGTGCCCGATAAAACAAAAATAGTTAATACACGATAAAAAGCAGACGAAATTGTTTTCTAACAAAGATTTCTAATGTAACAAAAAAAATAACAATTAAAATGAGTGAGGCTTCGGAAGTCACTGCCAAGAATTGGCTTCAGGCATAAGACCTAACTAAATGTCTACATCACATTCACAAACTGCTAAAAAAATATCTAAGAATGGAATCTAATTATATTTGTTATGAATTAAAGTAATATCTTGTTATTTAGGTGTTTTATGTTGAAACCAAAATTACCAACAGTCCTGCTATTAACCACGGGGGTCATGTGGCTAAGTGAGTAAAACGCTGACTTGCTAGCCTGGAGGTCGGGTGTTCGATTCCTGCATTGTCCAAGAAAGTTCACCAGATTTTCCAGCGTGGTTTCCCCTTGTCAGTGATGCAGGACGGAGGGCCTGACAAGGACAGCTGTCTAGTCGTTCGGATGGGACGAAAAACCGAGGTCCTGTGTACACATTGGCGTGAACGTAAAAGATCCCTTGGCAGTTGGAATTCGATATAAGAGTAGGCCGTAGTGCCGCTGCCCGGGCAAAATTTCCCTCATACGACATTAGCCCAGTTTAGGAGCAGAACAGTAGGACGTTAAACCCCATTTCATTTCATTGCTATTAACCCCTCGAGTGCATGGACACATTATTGATGCTATGCATTTATTTTCACAAAATTATACAATATTGCGAAAAGTTGAATGTTCAACGAACATATCTATTTTCTTGTTTTAGGATAGTGACCCAGTCTCGAATGTATATTCATCTTAGTACAGACTTGCAACGATCAGAGTATTCCGAGACCGCATATACCGTCACGATATCAGACGTATAGATGTAGTCATAGTTAAGATGACTTTTCCGCACTCAAGAGAGAGAGAGAGAGAGAGAGAATTCATAATATATAGACTGAATGTTGCCACCCAACACTAACAAAATGAGTTTACAGTCAGAACTACAATATTATTTATTTATGAACATAAAGTGCACGTTACCATATTATATACCTTCAACTCGAAAAGGCTGATTATTAGAAGGCTTTAGTTTTAATTATGTCACTCATGCTACATACTGTATGCAAAGCACGTACACGTGTGATTAACCCTTTAACCCCCACACCCATTACCATTGTTTTAACTCGCTGTTAACCCCTCTTATCTTAAGAACACTGACTCAACAAGATACGTTCTTTCATACCAAACAAACGCCTTATCACGTATTCTAGATATATCCTACCTTGAATAAACATTTTTGTAAAGATACCACTGTTAGAACTGTGCCAAACTTTGTTAAAGGGACACGCGTGGGTCTTTTTAGAGTTTCTGTAAGAGCTGTGGGGCCATGGTGGCTCGGTGAGTAAGACGTTGGCTGGCTAACCCGTAGGTCCCGTGTTCGATTCCTGCGTTGGCCGAGAAAGTTCATCGGGATTTTACGGCGTGGTTTTCCTTTGTCAGTGGTGCAGCACATATAGCCTGGCAAGGGACAATGTAAAGTCTTTCGGATGGGATGAAAAACCGAGGTTCTTCTATGTACACATTGGCGTGCAAGTAAATTTTCCATTGGCAGTTGGAATTCGATATAATAGGCCGCATTGCCGCTATCCGGACAACATTTACCTGATAGCACACTGTATGGCGTACGTCCGTCTTCATTAGCCCAACCGTAGCAGAAAAGCATGACATTATACCTCATTTCATTTTTTGTAAGAGCTGCTTTAATCAACTTGACTCAAATGGAATATAATAGTTTGCAAAGCAAGAAAGTAATGTGACCTATTGCCAGACGTGTTTATTTCATATTTTATAAAATGGGATTTACCATCTAACTTTTCTCCACTAACCGGACAAACGAAGAGGGATAATGGCGGTAATTTTGCCCGAAAAGCGGCCTTTCCGCCTATTCTTTTGGGATTTCAACTGCCAATGATTCTTTTACGTGCACACTGGACCCCGGTTTTCGTACGACTCTACGTTGTTTATTGCCAGGCCCTCCATTCTTTACACTTGGCATGGGGAGACAGCCTGGAAAATCCCGAGGAACTTTCTCGGCTAACACGGTGGTAGAAAGTGGTTTCAATGTACAATACCAGAAAAAACACTTTAAATGCTGGGTTAATTTTAAATTTCGTTATAATACTAACAACATCCAAATAATTATATTAAATCACAGTTAAATCAAAGGTCTAATGTAAGGTCTAATGTATTACAATAAAAAAGCTAACCCATATTACGCTACGCACATAATTCAGAGGAAGTTGGAAAGGTCTATTTATAATATATAACCGTGTACACAAGCCAATGTTCTTTCATTCAACTCAAATAACCTTCTCAGCTAGTGGTTTATTGGCACCTAGAGCTGTCTGGTGTGTAGGCCTCTCGATCATCAAACTTCTTCATCATAGAATATTATGACGTCAGTGGTAATATAATATTGATTGTTTAAATTCAATAGTGCACCACACGTACTGAAACATTATTCGAATGAAATCCATTTTAAAGGTTAAACAATTGATATTTGACAATCGTAATTGAGTACATCCATTGAACTGGTTAAAGAATTTATTTCTGACAAACGTAATTGAATACATCCATTGAACTATGGAGCTGATTTCACAACACAATTCTAACATTTGGTAATATGGTTACTACAATGCATGTAACCTCTTGCTTCAATATAGTTACGTAAGATAGCTAATTTAATTCTTGTTCCATTAATTTTAATTTACTGCAGTCTTCATAATAACAGAACTTTATGGATTTACTACTCCTTAGTTATTTACATTCAACGTTTCAATACTCTTACAGGTATCTTTATCAAGCAATACTCTTACAGGTATCTTTATCAAGCAACTTTATGGATTTACTACTTCTTAGTTTATTACATGCAACATTTTAATACTCTTACAGGTATCTTTATCAAGCAATTGCTTGATAAAGATACCTGTAAGAGTATTGCTTGATAAAGATACCTGTAAGGGTATTGACACGTTGAATGTAATAAACTAAGGAGTAGTAAATCCATAAAGTTGTGTTATTATGAATATTATACCTCTACTTCTAAATGTCACTCAAGGAACTTACTGCAGTCTTTTTTTTAAATTTATTAAGCAGATCGTCATTAGGCATTGTTACCCTATACGACAATAAACTGAACATAATATAATGGAAACCGAATAAAAACAAATTCAAACTAGAATATTTAAATATGCATTAAATAAGATTTAGATAAAGAGCTGGCAGCTTAAAAAAAACAGATGATGAAAAATGAATATATTGAAAATTTCAGTCAGGTTACTTCATTCTGAGCTAAGTTATGGCTCTATGGAGAATAGTGGAGTCTCGATTGGCATTGCTACCGTTGTTTCGATGATATACAAAGTCTCGATTATCCACTTTTTAATTAAATGATTAATTGACATCTTGTTTCAATCCGTATTATGTAACTACGTAACTACTTACATTTAATGATACTGACGTAATTGGAGATGCACAGCTTTTAAACTGTCATACAAAGGTCGTACTCAAATCAAATAATGAAATTCATGTAACTTCGCAAAATTGTAATCTTTATTTGTGTATTCACATTTTGTGAACTCAAAAACGTACTTGTCCTTGGAAAAACTGATAACTACTGATAATAATTATAGTTTAATTTTTGTCATTAAATGACAATAGCTCCAATAACTAAACCGAATTGGAAACCCATTATATTTACATCCAGACATAGGCGTACGGGCTGGGGGGGGGGCTGGTCTGCCCCCCCCTCCCCATTTTGGGCACCAAATGCTGGGAAAATTTGGGCACACAGTTGTATAAAAAAATATTGTGTTCTTGATTGTGTCCAATTTAACAGCAAATTTATTATCATTATGTAACATACTAAGAACCTAACTACATTTTTTGGGCACCAACCACCACCGCCCCCCCCCCCCCCAGTCAAAAATTTCCCCGTAAGCCTATGCATCCAGATAATTTCATTATGTTTACTCAGAATCAGTACCGTACGCATACTGCCTATACGATCTTTAAAGGGGCTAATATTTGGGACCTAGAAATTGACACAAATGGGTCGCTACGCATATAATAATGTAATATGAATAAACTGATTTACATTCAATCGTTTCTGTTTCTATTGTAATTTCTAATCGGTTATGTTCGGCGAAATACGCCAGAAGTCTCAATCGAAAGGCGATCTCTGGTGTCTGGTTATTCCAGTCTACACCGATAGTATTTATTGCGAATGCTCAACAGATAAGAATATGGCGTCACCGTCTGACATGACTGGGTGAAATATACCTAGCCTCGTTTTTTTGAGCCCCTTATTACAAATTACGCTGAAACGCATTATGGTACACGATTCGTGTACCAATGGTAAAATGTTTATTTTGTCTTAAATATTGGATATCAGAAGCCCACCTTTTCCCAGTAAGATCACACCATCAATGTTGATTTAAATTGATAAATAATTCTTGTTTTCAATGTCGAAGATTTTGGATGATATTGAGTTAGAGACTTAGCTACTTAAAGCTGACTCAGTCAACTCAAAAAAATCGAACGGACAATTTAGTTTGTAACTTCTGCATGGTATTTAATATTTAGTTCATAATATACAATGGAATATATTTTATTTTGCTTTTATTGTTGCTTTTAGTCTATCAATTTATTTCATATTTTTTTTCTAGCCTAATTGTTATAGAGCAGTACCACTACTAAATTGTAGATAACATTGTAGTGTCTTCGTCCACTGGAGGTCTGTTAGGAAAATGGTGAGATTTAACACGGTCACTATCAGCCACCATATAAATTTAACTAGAGTCATCGGTTATCAACATGAGGGTTAGAATTATCTCGCTTTCGTCGCCTCTTGTAATATTTGTGAAATATCAAAATGTTTAAGAAACTAAACAGCTGGACTTCAATCTGCATAATATTAAATGTATGAGAGATATGAGGAAATTAAATTAAAAGATGTTATAGAAACAGAACACACTACAAATCAAACTACAATATTTAAGAAATAAGAGAGATAAATTGTCATTTTGGCATCTGTAAATAGGCTAATTTACCATGTTAATTAAGAAGTTAAAATTATGTCGTGAATTCCGCTCCATAGAGTACTGGTTTGTATTCAGTGCAGATTCATCTTGAAGTATTGTCCTCTTTTTTGAGATAAACTGAATCATAACAGGATATGCTTACTCTTTCTAGAAACAACGACCCCACCTCTCGTTCTTTTGGGGTTTTTTTGTCGGTTTAGATAGATAGCAATTCGTCTACGTTCGTAAACATACTGCTAAATATAATAATGCAAAGCAGCCGCCCACTCATCCTTATAAATAATTATTTAATTAAATCAGAAAAAAAATGGCTAATAAGAAGTAAATGTCATTGATAATGGAGCCAATTTCTACTTTGAAAATGAAGGAATTAAGTACATTTACATGAACACACTGATTTAAAGAAAAGCGTTCATCAACAAAAACTAACCTTTGATAATACATGCCTCCTTAATTTATAGGACAAACGTCTGTAAGAATGTTATATCATACTATATTCATAAAATATAGATCACCGGTGTACACACGAACTAAACTTAACCACAGATTAATAATTCGTTTCTTCATACCGCCAATCGTGAATGATAAAACAGGGTCTATATTGTTTATAATGACCCGAATATCGTCCAATCAGCGATGAGTACAAAGGGGTTAGTAATGGTGTGTGTATGGTTATTGAGCTGGAAACTACTAGTCTGAAGTGTTGTACGGTCGATCACATATTATACTGGCATCTTATCCTACACTTAAAATGATCGATATTCGGTAGTCATTGATTTATATCATGGTTTACTAGACATGTACCAACAGTGCCTAACATTTACATAGCTTTTGTATGTAGTTCAAACTTTACGGCAATAAAATGTCATGGTGAACTCTTGCCACTTATAGGTTATCCCCAGACCCGTTACAAGCCTGACCCACTTTCCTTATCTTATCTAAAACATGCTTTCTGTACTTGATTTAAACAACAAAATCCTCGACCAAGGTAACGAAATACAATATCCCATCCTTTCTCCATTATTTTATTTTGGTCCACAGCCTTGTGAAAAATAAACACATTCACCGAATATCTTTGTTACCCGACAATTTTTACTTATTCAATGCGCGGTAAAAGAAAAGGTTTGCCCTTCACCCATGACGAAAGGTGAATCTATTTACAACTTCTGTATTATCAGCACGATTTTTCATTCATATGAATGATAGATTGATTCCCCCCCCACACACACACACGCACAAAATACCCACCAACTAAGAATACAATGTAGTCTTGATACCTATGCCAAAATCTATATCACTTATGATTTTGTTTTCTTCGTTAATCCAGAAATATAAATAATAATCAGGAAACTGGTGGAGCCAAGGATGGGAGTTGTTTGGAACGCTATCTTGAGTTATTTTCGCTGGCGATTTTGGATTTTCTACCGAAATATATCTTGAGTTTGCCTTAAGAATTAGATATAGTCCCTGGCCCCGAGTTCACAAAGCATCCCAAGAATTTACTCAACTTTCAATTACTGTTTATGAGAAACTAGCAGGATACCCGGCTTCGCTCGGGGGTCATAACTCCGAAACCGGAAGTGGTAGACTAACGCCACCAGGCCTATGTTAATTCCCGGTCCGAGCTACCCCAATACCCCAACTTTCAGACTCGGGGCAGACCTAGTGTAGCCGCCAACCCCGAACAGACCGGCTTCGCTCGGGGGTCATAACTCCGAAACCGGAAGTGGTAGACTAACGCCACCTGGCCTATGGTGTATTTTATACATTAAAACAACGAAAGTTTTATAAAGAGTCATATTTTTGATAAAATAAGGCGAACAATTTTAAGTAAATTCTTAACTTAAGTCTGAGAATGTTTTATGAACCCGGGGCCTGGTGTAGGGATAAATCTATTTGTTAAGGCCAGTTCAATTTTCGTCACGGTCGTTGAGATGTAAAGAAGGTTAGGGCAAGTGATCGTTGGCGAGATTGTAGGTAAGGGTTAGGGTAAGCATTGGGGCTAGGTCCAGGGTTAGGGTTAGGGTTGGGATTAGCACTAACCGTGTTTACTCACGAGACCTTTGACCAAACTTGAAGTTGGCCTTATCAAATAGATCTAACCCTGGTGTAGTGAAGACAAGTGAAACGAAATTTTGAACAAAAAAAAAACGAAATGAAGTTTTAATCAGATTGTCCTTGAATAAATTTTTTTATCAATAATGATTGATCTGTATAACCTTCTCGTCAACAAGTTCAAACTTCATAAATTATTATACATACTCTAGCCATCTATTTGATATTTCAGATAAACTACTCAGTACAGTAATGAATACAACCCCGAATGTACTAAACCCCACTGATCAGTAGTGAATATTCGTTAGGCCGCTACAATCACTGAGAGGAATGTCACCGGTGCGCTTTTATGAGCTCGCAATGCTAACTTTTTTTTCCATCTGCAAATTAAAATTTCGATTGTATCTTAGTTTAAGTTTTCGTGAATAAGGGTCCAGATTGGTACAAAGTACTAGCAATAACATGTAAATCAAACTGTTGGCTACGAGAACCCACCACTACAGGACAATACGACCTACGTGAACCCACCACAGCACAATGCGACCTACGTGAACCCACCACAATACAATACGGCCTGCGTAAACCCCCCACAGGACAACACGAGCTACGTGAATCCACCACAGGACAATACCAGCTACGTAAATCCACTACAGGACAATGTAAGCTACATGGACCCTCCGCGAGCTACGTGAACCCACCACGGAACAATACGGGCTACGTGAACCCACCTCAGTACAATACGAGCTACATGAACCCACCTCAGTAAAATATAAATGAAATGAAATGAAATGGGGTTTAACGCCCTACTATGCTCTTATACTGGGCTAATGAAGACGGAAATACGCCATACAGTGTGCTTTGAGAGAAATTATGCCCGGGCTGCGGCACTATGGCCTGTCGAATTCCAACTGCCAACGGATCTTTTACGTGCACGTCAATGTATACACGGGACCTCGGTTTTTCGTCACATCCGAACGACTAGACAGCTGTCCTCTGTCCTGTTCCACTGACAAGGGGAAACCACGTCAGAAAGATCTCGATGAATTTTCTTGGCCAATGTAGGGATCGAACACCCGACCTCCAGACTAGCGAGTCAGCGTCTTACCCACTTACAGTAAAATATAAGCTTCGTGAATCCACCATATGAGACAATAGCAAATTGATGTTTTAAAACTGGCCAGGGCATCCTTCACCTACTATAGGTCGACCCATAATTATTTTTCGGTAGCATTGTATCCAGTTCATCGGCCTATTTGTTTAACCTGGCGACCCCATCCCCTGTTATATAGCAATACTTTTAGTTCCTTTCGTACAAAACTAATCACAAAACATTGGACAAAAATCATGTACGTAGAACTTAGCTACAAGACCATTCGATGTCGGGTTAATGTGTATCGTACTAATAAACGACGGAGTGTGAAGATGTTCCCTATACGACCCCACTTATAATTTATGTCTGGGTAATCCCACTATCTCTAGTTACGACCCTTAATGTGTTGACCAAAATTCTAGTTACAACCCTTATTGTGTTGACCAAAATCCATTACGAAAATTTTAATTTTCAGACTGATCAAATCATTATTGGAAGATCTTTGAAATTTACAAAAAAAAAAAAAAGAAAAAGAAAAATAATCTTGGAGCTCAACGTCCACTTCCACCGAGGGTGATATCGCAGACATGAGTATAATAACCTCCATTACTTTCTTATACTATTATAGCGAAATCGGATATCCGCACCCGTTTCAGCTAACGCAACGAATCTTGTATAATGGAGTCTGTTTCTATATATAACACTGTAATAAGTATGAATGAAATTGGCTTCAATTCTTCGTCGCGTGGTCTGGTCATTACCAATCATTTGAACGAGGCGGGATTACTGCCGTGAGCTTATTTTCCGACGTAAAGGGTTGAACATAATTAGACTGCTTTGTCCATTATGAAGTATTGACGTCATAGGCCCAGTGAATAGAAGTTAAGTTTATTTATAGTTTGCTTCTATGAACTTGAGATGACCCCAGTGTCTTTAAATATTACATGAGTCCACTATAGTGCTAATTAGCCTAATTAGAAGAAAAGGATTGGTTTCAGACCAGGTATTTTTAATAATAAAAAAAGAGAAAACCTAATTTAATTAACGATTCTTTTATTTTCACTGTTTAAAATAATTGTTGTTTTTGTGTGTGTTCTGTATGCGTTTTCATGTATTTTGTGCAGCGCCTTTTATAGTACAACAATATATTACAACGCTCTATATAAGTGTTCATAATAATAATAAAAAAGGAGAAGAAAACAGAATTTGAATAGAAATTTAATTCATTACGAGTAAACTTGCCAGGCCATTTGAACAGGTAAACGGAGTTATAGTTTGGCCTGTGAAAAATGTCCTATTTACAATATAATAGATTTACTTTTATAGAGGCGATGTAAGAAATTTCGTTGAAATAGTATATTATGCAGTCTGATTTAAAAACACAGATCCTATTTCGTTTCATTTTTTATTGCTCTAAATTTCGTTTTACTTGTCTTCATGCACTTCATCAGGATCCGGAAGAGTTGTTAAATAACCCGGGTTCACATTGTTTCAATAATAAGAAAGCAATACGCTTATAAAACAACATTTTTAACGGGACAGCGAAGATGATCATACGCGATATAGTGTGCCATTAGGAAAATTTGGCCAAAACAGCGGTATTTCTGTCTACTTCTCTACGTTTAAATCCTACTGGCAATACGGATTTTTGTTTCTGATAAAGGGAGAACATACTCAACATTCTCGAGGTTGGAACTCTTGTTGAGGAACCAGGATCAGACTCTCTAGCGGTGATTATTTCTGTTATAAATGTCGACTTGCTTTTAATGTCTTAAAGTTCATGCACTTTTTCAAATAGGGGAGCGTCTATGCTATGGAACTTTTCCCCCATTACTAATTGGGCAGGACCATACCACCCAATACTAATTAAATACTACCACACATTACTACCTTAATATTGTGAGAAACTATCACAGTAAGTTGTTGAATTATACCCCAAAAATTCAGTTAATTTGTGGAATTAGCAAAATGTTTACGATAAACTGGAAGTCTGTTTATAGCTCAAGCGTCTGAAAGACTAGCCAAATATTACCAAATAAATGACATGGGTTTAACGTCCTACTATTCTGCTCCTATGCTGGGCTAACGAAGACGGGTATTACCAAATAAATAATTTATTTTCCATAAACAAACATATCCAAATAATTGTACTTTTATCTCATTTTTTGGTAACATTGACCCATTATTTAACAGACATGGATATATTGTTAATAGTATGGGTTAATATTTGTCAGTATTGGGTGATTAAGGGAGATAGCGAAACATTGACAATCACATTTGTCGTACATTATTTTGCATGTTTTGCTCCAATTAACTAAAGAAGTTTTTATATAATTGAAGTATTATGTTAGTTTTACACAATGAGGTAGTGTTTGGAAGTATTTAATTATCATTTGGTGGTATTGGGTAGTTTTCATGCAATTTTCCAAACAATAGGAAAAATTTTCACACAATTTACCAAATAATAGAGCGTTTCTGCTATCAGTTGGTTAATGACGAAAGGGTTCATGCCGAAGATGGAAATTGCCAAAGCTAATAGACTCATAGTCATGGCAAATTTGTAACCACGAACGGAATGCATTCACTTGGTAATATTCCTAAAATAAACGCCCCATTAATAAAATTCGAGTGCGAGTGACATGAAAATCGACGACATGGGTATTCTTTGGAAAATGCCGCATCGATGACATTTCCATGATGTCTTTCCGATACTAAGTTCTTGGTTCAAATAGTAAGTTGGTACTTGTTTCACGTCACCATATTTTATCTGGATAACTTCTTTAAAAAATGTATAAATTGATAGGCGATGCATTTTTTATTTATTATAAACAATATTTTATTCAGACATTGTATCTGAATAGGGATTGGGGAACAGGTATAGCATATACTAAGCCCCTCTCCCTGTCAGATATAGATACATGTATTTACATTTTATAAATAAATAATGTACAAGTGAAAATATAGTTACAGTGAGTGTGTTATAGTTGTCCCCGGAACCGTCTGGACAGTTTAAAAAAATATAAAATGGGCATTATGAAAGATTAGATAAAGAGCTAAAAATTGTCGCTATAATAGTTAAAAAATAGATAATGAAAACAGAACATTTCAGTCAAATTGCATCACTCTGAACCGAGATATTAACGATTCAATTTTAGGCTAGCCTCGAACGCCATTACTACTGTCGGTACAATAATAAACAAAGTCTCGTTTATCCATTTTTAAAATTAAATCATTGAGCATAAAAGGTATCCAAATCCACTAAATATCGCATACTAACGATGGTATCGATAGTTGATTATAGTCTTGTTAAGCTAATTAATGTTTAATTAATAATTTATATAACATTTCAGGCCTGTAGAAAGACCTGCAATAGGCAGATTTAGCTCTTGCATAATGCATGTTTAAGTGCGCTTCCCGTGTCGTCAGTTTCGTGCAGTAAGATAGTAGTGTTTCAATAGATAGACTGTAGATATTTATTGTATTATTGCGGGCATCTAAATATAC